TGTAGCCATTTATTGCCTGCTGGGTTGGGGATGAGTAATCTGTGTCAAAGGCGCAGAGGCTGATCCCTTGCTCAAGACTTGTGTTGAGGCTTGGCCATGGCCCATAGCCATTCTGATGTTGATAACCCAGCTGGGCTATCCCAAATAATGCACTTTGAATTGCCGTTGGCTTTTCACCGCCAAATAATCGGGATGTAGCTGATGCTCTCAAGTTCTCATAGCTTTTAGCTTCCTTTGGCTCTTAGAGCACATTAATCTGTTTTTTCTCAAGTCATCTGACATCCCTTAGGTCTTTGTGCTGCTGAAAGATAAGTAGTCTCTTGCCAAACCAATGTTCCAAATCTCCTTTTGACTTTATTCTTTGACACCGGATCATTGTCTTTGTCCCTTAACTGCATCCCCACTGGAAGCCAGAGCTGGCCCTACTGCAGACTGCACTGGGGCCACAGAAATGTAGAAAAGTAGTGTGTTTATCCTAGTTTATATTGTTGTGGACTTTCTCTGTGTAATTTCCATTTTGATAGAACTTTGGCAGCTTGAACTTAGAGTGTTAAATGTCATTGAGCTTATTTTAAAGCAGTAACTTAGGCTGAGTTTTTTCTTTGAGGAGTTTGAAGCCTCATTCTTGTCACTGCTAATGGAATTAGTGTGGGGTCAGACTGGAAAAGCTCAGCCCTACTACGTCAGGATCAGTTCATCAGTTGACAGTGGGGAAGGAATGTGAAATGCTTATAGGAATGTGAGATTGTATGGGTCATGTTATCTTTGAGAGATTGGTGGTAGAGTGTCACAGCACGTTCTGGGAAGGTGGCTGCCTTTGGCAGGGGTTGGGCTTCACTCATTAAGGGACCATGCAATGGAAGGAAATTCCGAGTGGGTGCCACGTAAGACACCTCCTGTCAAGCAGGGACTTCACTCTTTTATTTGAGGATTTGGGATGAGAAAGATTCAGGTTTGCAGTTATATCAGCCTCACAGTTTGCCTCTTGTGTTGTGGCTCACTGGTACAGCTATGCAGCTGTCTATAGCAGGAGCACGAGAAGAGGAAGTGAAATCAGCAGTGCTGGTGCATGTGCCAGTCTTCTTGGAACTGACTGTGCTTGTCTTGTCCCTTAAAAAGCTGGAGCAGGTCTGGGTTCTGCCTTATCAGTAGCAGTCTACTTGTGATTTGCTGTGCAGAGACATAAGCTCTCTGTTCTTCCCAGGATGAGATGTGGCTTCCTGTGGGGTTTGCGTGTACTTCAGTCTTTGCACTGTGACACAAAGCCAGCTCCTGGTATCTCTTTCTGCAGCACATCTTGCTGTGTGAGGCATCTTCTACCTCTCCTAGCACAAACAGTATGCAACTAGCCAAAGCAAACTTATGCCCTCTCTTTTGGGGAGCTTCAGCACAGGCTGTCTAAAGCTGGTACATAGTCTGTATGTGGAACAGTAATTTATAATGCTCTGTTTTCTCCCTTTGGTTTAAAAATGAAAATATCCTCAGAAACTTTAATAGGTGGAGAAGGTAGTGATTCTACTTAGTTACATCTCCACAGGCAGTGTGGGTGAGGTGGTGGGTGCTGTCTCCCACCAGCATAACTGTGCCCTGAAGAGGTTTGAGTACCTGTAGCAGAGACTGATTAGCACCAGAGCATTTCTTCACCAGTGGCTGTTGCAGTCTGGGAGGCAAGACGGTGGGCAGCTGTGATGCTGATGCTGTCTGAGAGACACCAGAACAAATACTAACTTGTGGCTGAAAATATCAGCCCACAGTCCTTCCTGAGTGTAGCTTATCTTGTGTAAAACAAGGGCCTGCATAGTTTATGAAGTAGGCCTGCACTTACAGTCAAATTTATTCTTAAGCTTCACATAGTTAAGGCAACTAGGGTGTAGAGGAATCGCTGTGGGGAGGAAGAGAAAAAGAATATAGAGGATTCTGAAACCAGATTGGGAATATAGGATTATAAAGCATATTGTATTTTTATTTTTTCTAAAGCCTGTGGGACAAGCTGAATGCCATAAATGTAGTGAAGGTGAACCAGCAGCCAACTATTGTCAGTTTGTGACAGCAGGATATGTTTGAGATAAGGTGTTTGTGATATGGTGTGAGTGCTTATTGTTTTCCACTGCTCTGGGCTACCTTCTTAGTTTGCTGAATGTGCATCTCCTGTCCCTAGTGTACATGGAGCAATTGGTGAGAATGTGTAGCTGTTTAGTGGCATGAAATTAAAGCATTGCATCCAAAAGTAAAGCCAGAAGGGTAAAGCCAGACGAGGAAACCTCGTGCTTAGAGGCTGCTGCCCTCTTGGCTTTGCCTATTTGTGTTAACATAAGGGTGGAGAAAAATGATTGCAACTATTTTTATTTTTTCCTTCTTCCTGGACTGGTAAAACCACTGACTGATTTATGTAAACCACTAAACTGAACCAAATTCTTTGGGCAATAGTACATGCTAAGAAATTGCAGCTTGGCATCCTCAGCCCCTGCTTTCCTCTTGTGTATCACACCCAGCTGGGCTGGTGCCACTGTCTTCCAGTGCTCTGATCCAGAAGGTTTGCTGATTCTGGTCCACACATTTCAACAGAGTAACTGCTATGGTAAAAGGCCTGAATTTCATTCTCTTGCACCCCATCTGCTGTTAGCTCCTTTTTGAGATGTTAATATAATAAACTTTTATGCACTGCTGACTTTAACCACAAATCAAAGCCTGGGTTTAAATGTAAAGGCCTGTCTCTTCTGGGAGGAAACTCCTGTTTTCCCTACGTTAATTTGCAGGGTGTGGAAGGATACTTGGGAAAGTACCACTCTCTTAACCCTCTTTTTGCTTGTATTCCCAAGTGGCTGTTGTGTGACAGCTTGTTGGTTTTGTAGATTCAAGCTCAGGTAAAGAAAGTGATCTGTCAAAAATAAATACCGCACGCTGCCCTCTGCTTCCTTAGGAAGAGTTTCATGATTTCCTTGAAGTTCATCACAGACTGCAAAGGATCAAAAAGATAAGGAAGATCTTTTTGTACATCAGCAAGCTGGAAGGAGAGAATGTATGGTTGGGAAGCCTGCTGGTAGTGGCCAGGGCCTGTGCTCTCTTGTATGTGGTATTTGAGAAGTCAGGATCCTGGACCAAAAGTTCATCTTGCAGCCCACATCTGAAATCCTTATAATATTCACTTGAATTTTGCAAGAGTTTCAACCCTTGCAGTTTCTACTGTTTCACTTAAAAGATCTGTGCATTCAGGAATCCATTTTCTTTTTCTTCTTCCTATGATACGGATACTACTTGCTGCTTTTAACACAGCTAACGATCAACTTCTCGTGCATCTAACAGGTCCCTAACCTGTACAACACGTGGTTCAATGCTGTGCACAACAGTGTGTATCAATGGCATGCTCTGTAAACCCCCACGCATGTGTGGTGTTTTGGATTCGGTTTGCTGCCTGACCTACTGTTAATAGTTCCACAGGTTGGTTTTTCAAGGGGTAGGAGGAAATTCTTCTGCAGACTGTCAGTAGGACTTAGGAAATGCTTTCTCGTGACTTCCTGGGGGAAGCCTTGTACATGCAGCACTCAGACTAGAGAATAAGAGGGTGTTGCCATCTGCCAGCTCTGGGGTTCCCCCAAGTTCTTAGATGCTTACCACTGTTTTTGTCCATTTTAAGAATCTAATCTAAGAATCCAGTTTCCAAGCTTTCACTCCTTCTCTTGACAGAAGAGCTGTCACTTCCAAAGGAATTATGGAAGAAGCCCTGAAACTCTCTGCATGCATTTGTGTCTGTTTTCCTTATGGGTCCATTTCTACAAAAGAGTAGGTGTGGGTGGCAGTGCTGCATGTTGCCGAAGTTTGAGGGCCTTGTCAGCAGTTCTTTCCAGCAGTTTTCTCGTCTTCCCTTTAAAATGATGAGAGAATGGACCACCTTGGTTGATTGCCACACCAGCCAGTTAGTTTGTGCCAAACTCACCCTGTGCCTTCACAGTGGGTTCTTCTTGCCCTATGTCCCTGATGTGTCTGCCTTTCTGAATGCACCAGGACTTGTTCCTTCTCTTCCTCCTTTCCCCTTGCCCACCCGTGGGACACTTCTCTGCGCCCAATCTGCCGGACGGTCTCTAACTGCATCCATCCTGCTGTGTGGCTGAGATAGAAACTCAGCCAGGACTCTGCTGTTGTCACTGAGTTTAAGAAGCCCCTGAGGCACACCAATGCGTGTGGAAATCCTGTGGTAATCACTGATGTCAGAGCAGCAACTTGACCAGCAATAGCATATGCAAGTGATGTTATTTACATAGCAAAGTATTCAAGTAGCGTTCTCGGTAATTTTGAAATTACAGTATTAAACCAATGCTTTTTTTCCTCCCGTTTCCTTTTTCTAATGTTTTCTGGAGAAAAAAAGTATTTATTTTGGCAAAAATATATCTTCTAATAAAAACTTTCTCAATGTACTCACCTGGCTGTGGCAGATTGTCTGTTTTGCCCTGTAAAGGTACATTAAATATTTCTGACTGTGCTCTATGCTGTGGGTTTGTTTGCTGGGCTCTATTCTGCTCATCTCATTTGAACTGTTCTCAGGGTAAATACATGTCAGCATTGGTAAATGCTTGGTGGGGAAGGGTTGGACTAAGATGATCTTAGAGGTCTTCTATAACTTTATTGGTTTCACGACCGATCTTAGAGGTGAAAGATAAGAACCCGTCTATTTCTGCAGAGGTTTCTGAGAGGAGCTTAGCAGCGGGCTGGGTGAGGACAGGTGCGTGGAGCTGTGCAAGGATGCCATGCACATGCTCAAAAGGGAAAGTTTTCCTCCAACCCGCGGCGGTCGCTTGAGGAACTGAACCGGGCCTGCCGCCTATTTCCTCATTCAGGAAACAGATCATACTCAGCTGCTACGAATAGCGGCCGTTGCGCTGCAAGTTTTTATCTCCGCCACGAATCAGCCCGGCTGTGCCGGCGTCGCCTTTAACTCCGCTCGGGGCCTGGCGGCGGCGGGCAGCACAGCCCCCAGCCCCACCTGCCGCCCCCGGGCCGGGGCGCAGCTCCCTCCGTCCGGCGGGACGAGCGTTTCCTGCGCTCCCGCGGCTCCGCTGTCGCCCTGTGGAGCGGCAGCAGGTGCCCGCTCTGCTCCTCCTCGGCCAAGACGGGTAAGCGGGGCTGTGCGGGGCGGTGCGGGGGCTTCGCGGTGCGGACGGAGCCGACGCCTGCCCTGTAGCCTGCCCGGTGTCGGGGGGTGTGTGGTACTGGGACGACGTGTGGTGCCGGGGCGGCCGCCCCCCGCCCGCCATTTTGTGAGGCCGGGGTGCGGAGCCCCTCAGCTGTGAGCTGTCTGTCTGAGCGCGCTCGTTCCTTCAGAGCGTCCCCCTTCTCTAGCTGCCGCTAGCTGAAAGACGGCTATGGGCGCGCGTTCCCTCCGAGCAGCTCTGCTGGGTGAGCTGCGGCTCCGGCAGTGTGTGGGGAGCGCTCCCAGGTGGCCTCAGGTGCCTCTCTCAGACAGGGGCACGCAGCGCTGGACTCCGCGCATCCTCTGCTCAGGGAACTCTCTGCATCCTCTGCGCCTTCTGGCCCAGATCCGGTGCGTGGTGGCGCCGAGGGCCTCCGTGCCGCCTCTCCTCTTTGGGAGAGACGCCGAAGCTCCTCTAGCCGTTTTCTTTAATGTCCCTTGAGAGTGGGATGCCCTTCGGTGAACTCGTGTGCGGAACCTCAGATCCTTCCTGTAGCGCTTCCTGCTGGGCAGTTGCCCCCCTCAGCCGGAGACGTGGCTGTGTCGGGAGCAGCCTAAGGAGCCGGGTAAACAAAGTGCAGTTTCCCAGTTGAAAACTGACCCACTGAATCCTTGGTTGTTCCGATGGAGCTGGTGGATGTTATGCGTAACGGGAGCTGCTGGCTTTTAGCCTTGCTCTGAGCAGCTTCAGGAGCAATTCCTATCTTACTTTTCATCTTCTAGAGCTGCCTGTTTCTGTGTATCACATAAAGTTGTATACGTATGAGCGTATCTGTCTGCTGAGAGCTATGGAAACCCTCTGTTCTACGTCTGATAGGGAATCAGCCTGGCTGTCCTTTCTCCAGGCAGTTTGATCTGGCAAATGAAAAGATTTTTTCCTCCCAAACCTAATTTGATATGTGTTGTGAATTGAGGCTGTATCATGCCTTGATCTGGTGATGTTATTGCAGGTGAGGAGTCCACATGCAGTTGTCTTCAGCAGCACGCAGGCAGTGCTGTAATCCTGGCTGCCTCAGGAGTGACCCGATGGGATGAGGTTCAGTACACAAGTAACATAAATCAAATGGACACAGCTCCCAGCACAGTGTTCTTCATGGTCAGAGAGCTTTACAGATATTGATCCCCATGTGTAGTAAACCAGGATGGGTTTCCATAATGCAGCTCACGTATTATTCACTGCCTAAATATTTTTGACTCGATGTGGCTGTGCTGGAGATGGAATCCTCCCACCTCTTTGCCTGCTCCCACGAGCTCAGCTTGACATTAGAGGCAGTGATAAGAGGTTTCAGCTGTAGTACTTCTGTTTTCTTCACGGAGCTGTGCAATGTCTTTCCTGCTCTTGCCAGTGCCTTTGCTTGCTGTCTGCATAAGGACTAAAGTTTTAAAACACTCGCTTTGCTTCAGACATCGGAATCCAGAATGACCCATTTTGAAGCATCCAAGGAGCAGTACTGAAGCAATCAGTGAGGCTTTGTCCTCTGTCACTGTGCTCCCTCTAAGGTAGTGCATGGCCCAGCAGCTCCAAGGGGAGATGCACAGTGTTGCTGTCATTGCTTTTCTCAATATTTTTTTCCAGCACTTTCTCTTTTCCCCTTTCTGCATCCTAAAGCTTTAATTTTCTTGCTGACTTTTGATGGATTTCCCTGTGTGTGGCTCTAATTATAGTTTTGCCAAGCAAACCTGACCTCTGCAGCTGCATGGGGAGTACTGAGGTTGGGTCACTAAATGTTCTGCTGCAAGATGAAGCACACTGTGCTCTGCTCATGCCATGTGCTCATGTCTGTCAGCCTTACATATTTACATATCATCAGACAGACATTTAAGGGAAAGAATCAACAATGGTAGCATCAGATGACTGGTATCTCTGTGGCATAAGAAAAAAAATGCCAGCTGCTCACATATGTCACACAGACTATGCAGTGTCAGTGACCCATGCTTAGGATGTAGTAAAGCAGTTAAGAGAAGTGTGTGAGGCTGAGCGAAGGGATGTACAGGGAGCTTCCAGAAGTCTGTGCTAGCTGATTGCAACTGCATGGCGCTGCCTTTGCTATCTACTGTGCTTCCCTGAAAGCAGGGAAACAAAGCTGGCGGAAATCCTGTTATGGCTGCACACTCTCCAGCCCCTGGGAAGGGAGAATTGGGACAGCCTGTCTAGGCAGGTGGTAGAGTCACTGTGCTGTAGTTGTTCAGGATCTGTGGAGATGTGGCACTGAGGAACATGGCCAGCATGATGGGGCTGGGCTGGAGGTTGGACTGGATGATCTTAGAGGTCTTTTCCAATCTAATGATTCTGTAGCCTTCAGCAGACCACCTTCAAGTCAAAGCAGTTCTTTCAGCTACCCACTGTTCCCACATGAAGAAAACAATTTCCTTTGCTCAGGATTGGAATTGAAGGTGACTGTGCTGTCAGAATGGCATCGGTAGATCTTTCCCTATGGTCTGACTCTCAGCTGACTTGAGCTGGGCTGAGCCTTACCTGCTACAAGGGCTGTGTTCAGAGAAAGTGAGCAGTGTGCTGTGCTGGGAGGAGCTGAGGTGAGGGAATGGGATGTGTAAATATTGCTCAGAGTGACTTGCACTTAACCCAGGCATATGGACTAAATGCAAATACCCATGCCGTTTTTCAGGTGGGACGGGTTGGCCAGCAGAGCTGTCCATCCCTCTCCACTGTGAATCACCTGAGGCTGAGACCTGGTAGCAGGCATTGGGCCAGCTGCTCTCCTGGGCAGCTGCTGAGCTTTGCCCAAGGAGGAAGGTAGGCGTCATCACTGAGATAAGACACAGCGTGACCGAGTCCTTGTTCCCCTTGGCAGGCACAGCTGAGTTTGCAGCCTGGAGGAGCAACCAGACCTCACCTCTCCTCTCCAAGACATGAAGCCCTGACACTGGAGCCTCAGAGGGAAGGTACATGTGTTTGTGCCCAAGGGGATGGTGAGTGTGGAGGAGTGGCCATCTGGTTGCTCTACAAGCAGAAGGCATGGAGTTGGGAGCTCCCATGTCTGTCTGCTGGGGTTGGAGGTGCTGCAGCTCCATGGGTCTGCAGAGCTTGGTGTCCTCTGAGCTGCCATGAAGGTCTGGCAGGGCTAAGGGCTTGTTCTTCTCTTCAGTTCCCCAATTCTTGGAGGTCAAAGGGTCTGTTGTCCTGAGCTGTGCCCTTCTGCCTGATATCATGGGAGCTTGGAAAGGAATTCAAATTTATTGGAGGAATAAAGAATGCAGATGTCCCTGCAGATGCATGTTTCTTCCATTTCACACTTTGCTTCTGTGCTTGAGAGCTCCCTTCATTCCTCCTCACCCTTTTTACCTCTTACAAGAGCTGGCAATGTTTCTGCCAGCCTGAAACCTGAGGAGTAATCCTCTGCTCCAGTACAGATGCACAAAACCCTTTGGTTTAATGCTTTAACTACAGCACAAAATATCTTCTGCTTCCTATGCAAATCTGGCTGCTTGTTCTAAGCTGCTGCATGCAAAAGCACCACTTGTAGTTACTCATGCTGGGCAGAGTGGTGCAGGTTTTATGTAAAGTATAAAGATAAGATTTCAGAGGTTCGTCAGAGAGCACAGCAATACACAGATTTATGCTGGAGAGAGGTTAACGAGGCAGTGCATCATTCATGGTGATCCTATAAAGAGTTCTCACCAGCTTGAGGTTGGGTACTGCTTTCCCCTTATGATGTATGGCAATCGTTATGGGTCTGACTCTTCTTGATGGGTCCTTGGTATTGAAGAATAGACCCCCAGGTAAGGAAGTAAGCAACCCTGTCTTTCTGTACTTGCACAGTCTTACTCTCAGCAGTTTCCTGCACTTCAGGCACAGTTTTGAATGCATACCACTAATCCAGTTGAGTTGTACATACTGTTCTCTTCCCATGTCATCTGCACACAGGAAGAGAAACTGCATTCAGCAAACTCTGCTTCTGCAGCAGGGAGAGAACTGCTCTGACAGAATAGAGCGGAATACAGCACTGGCTCAAAAGATTCACTGAGTGATATTAGTATGGAAAAAAGTGTGCAGTGCATATATTCAAATGAAAAAAAAATCTATATGTGCACATGTCACATTTCTCTTCATTTTGTTTTTCCTTTTCCTCCACCTTTCCGTGGTGAAGTTGCTCCTCTCCTGTCTGCAAACTTGTACAGCTGGGATCCTAGGCAGGAGGTATTTAAATTGATATCCTTCAAAGGGATATCAAAGAAGCAGGTAGCAGTGGACTGATTATCCCCTTTTTATGGACTTGATTTTGACAGTGCATGATCTTTTGACACTTTCCAGGCATCTAGAAAATGTTAAAAAGATAAACCACTCTGGTACATTAATTATTCAAAAAAGATACATTTATAATGAAATAGCTCTGTACATGTAACTATTTTCAAAGTTCAAAGTCCATAAAAAGCATTATTTTTGGATGTGTAGGGATTTGTTGGTTGTCCTCTCTCCTTGCCACTTCCCTGCTGCACCCAAGCACAGGATCAGGGCAGACTGTGGTTTGGTGACTCACCCCATTCTGATGCCTGTGTCCCTCTCTGTTCAGGTTGGGCACACGGCATTCAGTCTGTAATCATGCTTGAGAGCCCTCACTGCTTCCTGAAGTATTAGGGAGGCTGTAATGATGCTAAGATTGTTCTAATCCAATTTGATCTGTAAATCCACTTCTCTGAAAAATAAAGGAGTGGGGGGGTGGTAGTGGAGTGTCTTTGCTAAATCAAAACCTTGCTGGCATCAGAGGATGAAGGCTTTTTCTTTGCAGCTGTGTACCGTTTAAATACAAAGGATACACACTATGGTTGGATTAGCATTTCTATGGGAACCATAAGTTTTTGCTTTCCTTGACCTTTACCTGCATAGTGCTAAAGATTCATTGAAGTGGCTCCAAAACACCTTATTTGTTTGTTCAATGAGCTCGTTGCTGCGGTCAGTACTTGGAGAAGCTTTATAAGGGCCTGCAGGAGGAGATGAGAGGCAGGGCAGGCTGTGAGGCACAGAAGGGCAGCTCTTTTCCTTCTCTGTGCTGCTTAGCAGCATCCCAGCTGACACGAGGTGTGCAGGCTGAGACCACAGGTCAGTGTTAAGCATCTCTGCAGCAACGATAAACAGAATGGTGAGTACATTCCCCTGCTCAGAGGCAGGTAACGCACTTGGTCTGATTTTTATTTGCTTTGACTACGCAGCCAGAGCCTGCCCGGAAGAGTGCGTGGTCATTCTTGCTGCCCTTCTCTAGTGGAAGAAAACTGTGAGGAATGTCCCATCTTAACCTTTGCCTCTTGCAGATCTTTAATATCTTGCTCCTGGGAGCTGCTCTCTTTGCTGTTTGCAGCCTGATGAAGTCTCTGCTCCTCAGATGCCAGCTGGAGGATCCTGGTTTACCTCTCCTTTTCCCTATGCTTTCTTGCTTCTCTCTGTGAGACAAGCAGTGCAGTAATAAGTCAGTGGCATCAGGTTTGAGGTAGGACTCACAGGGACAGTTTCCAGCCCTGCTCTTGTTGAAGTGGGGTGGACAGCAAGCTGCATGCCTGCCTCGCGGAGCTCCAGCTGTGCTGATGTGACCTTACAGCACAGATGAGAGATTGTTGCTTCCTTCCCATTTCTTCCCCTCTTGCCTAAGGCAACTTAGGAACAAGCCCTTCCCCTTCACAGCTGTGCATGAGGCAGGATTATGAGGAATTTACCCTGGGGATGTAATGGCAGCGTTCCTTGTGCCTTTTCTGCACTGACTGCTGCTAGCCAGCCTGGATTGGAAAGGGGACGGGATGCAGTGGGAGCTCTGCAAACCACACCTCCTGCTGGGACCTGCTCAGATACTCTGTGTACAGTGGCAGTGTTATTTCTTCCTTTGCTTTTTGGTGTGGACTACTGCTGGCTTCAGGGAAAGGAAGCAAAACCATCCTGCTCCTGGAGGTACTTGGGGACAGCCACAGAGAAAACATGGGGTTATGGAACTTGGTAGGGAATGGAAAGTCACTCTTGGAGGAGGAATTGAGGGAAGGAAGGCTGGAGGAGGTCACAGCTGCTGAGTCTCAGCAGAGTTTCTGCCTAAGAACTTTTTGTTCTGGTTTCCTGCCTTCCTGTGGCAGAGGGAGAATGCAGGGATCGGCTTTGAGGAGTTGGAGATGCTTGATTAACAGGTGGTGAATTTTTCAGGTTGGGTTACCCAGTGTCTTTGCAAGTGTTGAACTGAAGGTATGTGCTCTCATTTTGATGTAGTTCTGCAGGTTGTTTAACCTATGCTGTTGACCAGTTGGTTTTGGAGCTGTGGGTTTAGAATACCACTGCTATGGCTGCATTGCATTGTCAGGAGTAAGGAGAGAAAAAGTACTTCTTAGAGTATGTGTGATCGTGGTGTTTTCTGAGTACAGCTGTACTCATCTGGTTGGATTGAATACTAAGGACTTTTTTCCTAAATACTTTGTGAAAACAGAATTTATCTCTAAAAACATTTGTTAGGAAGTTTTCTACCACCTCACCTATGCTCTCCTCTTACCCCCTATTTTCTGCAGCCCGTGTCAGTGCTGCTGCTGTGGGCTTCTGACCTGACCACAGCTTTCAACAAAGGAGGGAAGATTTCCCCTCAGTAATTTTCATTTTCCCAAGCAGACAGAGCACCTAAACAAAGAGAGCTGACATAAGCACCTCTTAGACAGCATCAGCTTCTGAGTTTGCTTCAAGTGCTGCTGCCTGCTGCTGTTAGCTGGGAGGATCCCCACTGACAGGTAACTGAGCGCTGTACAGCGGTACTGCGGCCATTTCAGTGAGGCAGAGATCGGGTTAATTGTCTTCTCATGATTGGCTTCACCCAGCTGCCTCAGCTGTGTTTGTTTGAATACATTTGCAGAAAGGTCAGACTGTCCGTGGCTCCCGTACGTTGCTCGTGGGTGAAACCGATGGAGCAGCAGCTGCAGGAGAGGCTTCTCTGGGGAATTGCTGTCTAGAAACCTTCTCCCTGCTCATTCCTGCCGAGTAATCTTGCTTTTTATGTATTTTTTTTAATCCCTTAAGGCATCTTGAAGATTCACTGTAGTGAGGTGAAACTTCTCTCCCTGTCCTGTTGCCAGCTTGCAAGCCAGAAGCAATCACAGTGGTGAGATCATTCTTGTCCAGTTCTCAAGAGACACTGGAGATGAGGAAAAAAGGCTTAACTTCATGCATCCCCCTGCAGCTGTAGCTCTAAATAAGTGCTGTTCAGGTGCCCCAGAGATCTTGCTGGCTCAGGTGGAGGAGAAATTGCTCTCAAAATTCCTCAGTACACAGTGTGAGAGGGTGCTCTATCCAGCTGCAGAATTCCTATTTCAAAAGTGGGCTGGGTGGTCTGGTGTTTCATCCATGTGTGATTTGGGAGCTCTGGACTGCATGAGGCTGTCAGTTGTTCTTTGCGTACCATTAATTTCTGGATCAGGGATCTTGATCAATGAAGATGTAGCTCTTTCTTCACTTCTGGTCTTTGCACCTGGCATGGCCAGGTGGCATGAATCTGGTGGGATCGCTCTGGCTTCTGGTTGCTATTGCAGGTACAACCTGCTCTGCACACACTTTGCTTTGCTCAAGGGGCAGGTGAGGCAGCTCTGAGGCAGTCACTGGTGATGTTCAGTTCAACAAGCTGAGGAGCTGCTCTGGAATTGTGTCATTTCCTGAAAAGATTATTTGCAGAGCTTTGAATGCCACCTTAGGCCCGAAGCTTCTTTTCTGTGGGGCCTTGCTGGCAGCCAAGCAGCCGTGGGAGTAGAGGAGGAGTCAGGGGATCTGCTTTGATGGGGCTCTCCTTGCTTGGTTTTCAGCTCAAATCGGAAGCAATCCAACATGTCTGATGTTGAGTGCCAAGTCCTCTGTCTTCTTACCTATTTTTCCTATATCTTCTCTTCCTGTATCCTGTATCTGTAGGTATCACCAATAGGGCAGAGCACATGTGGAGAGCATACTTGATATAAACACATGGAAC